CGGCACACCCCTCACACGTTTCGTGGCCCCATAGGGAGCTCCACCGAAGGTCCCAGTGGGTGTGCCCGCATGCGTCCCGCACACCCATGTCGGTAAACCCTTCACACGCTTCGTGGCCCCATAGGCAGCCCCACCGAAAGTCCCTGTGGGTGTTCCCGCACGCGTCCCGCACACCCATTTCGGCGCACCCCTCACACGCTTCGTGGCCCCATAGGCCCACAGGGAGCTCCACCGAAGGTCCCAGGGGGTGTGCCCGCATGCGTCCCGCACACCCATTTCGGCACACCCCTCACACGTTTCGTGGCCCCATAGGGAGCCCCTCCGAAGGCCCCTGTGGGTGTGCCCGCATGCGTCCCGCACACCCATTTTGGCACACCCCTCACAAGTTTCGTGGCCCCATACGGAGCCCCACCGAAGGTCCCAATGGGTGTGCCCGCATGCGTCCCGCACGCCCATGTCGGTAAACCCTCACACGTTTCGTGGGCCCATAGGGAGCTCCACCGAAGGTCCCAGTGGGTGTGCCCGCATGCGTCCCGCACACCCATTTCGGCGCACCCCTCACACGCTTCGTGGCCCCATACGGAGCTCCACGGAAGGTCCCAGCGGGTGTGCCCGCATGCGTGCCGCACACCCATTTCGGCACACCCCTCGCACGTTTCGTGGCCCCGAGTTTATCCGCTAAGCCTGACCTGAGGAGCGGCCCGCCACACCCGCGCCTTCTCTCGGTTGTCCAATTGTTTGGCCTCGCGCCGCGGACGCCCTGCGCGCGTCGCTGGGACCCTCTCGGGGCGATCAGCGCGCGTCGCGCGAACTCCGCGCTGCGCTCTGTCCAGCGCCTCGCTCGCCCGTCGTCGCTCCGCCCGGCGGCCAGAGCCATGCGCACTATCAGTTAGCCAACAAACAATCTGTGTTCCACGCAGCGCACGAACCGTGCGCGTCACTGTGACCCCTTCGGGGCGACCTGCGCGCGTCGCGAGGTCTCCGCCTTGCGCTGCGCCCGCAGCCTTGGACTTTGGAGTGCGCGGGCAAAGGCAAAGGAAAAAGGAGTGGAGGAAGCGTGCGCGATCCTCGTGTGGGGCGTGCCGACATCGGCGTCGCGGCGCGCGGGCGCTGCCTCGGGGTTCCCAGGGAAGCCCCCTGCAGAGGCTACGCCACACAATTCGGCACACCTTCATACGGTTCGTGGCCCCATAGGGAGCGCCACCGAAGAAGATATTCACAATTGCGATCCTCACAATTGCATATGGTGGGGTCCTTCGCCAGGATAATTTCAACGTTCCCCGACCCCCCCCCACTGGACATGGAAGGCAAATTGAGGGCTTCGGGTTGGGTTGGGGTGGTTTGGTGGGTGAGGTCAAGGCTGAAGCAGGCTGGACCCTTAGAAGTCTAGACTTCCTCCTGCCCCGGCTGCGAGCCGATGCGCCCACCGCTGCTCTCGAGCCCCACCTCGAGCCGACAGACGTTCGGCTGCCGCCGCGGCTGCCCCCTTCTGCCCAGCATCGACCCCCCCCCCGCACTCCGCAGCTGCTTGCAGGAGGAGGAGGAGGAGGAGGAGGAGGAGGAGGAGGAGGAGGAGGAGGAGGAGGAGGAGGAGGAGTGGGGGAAGGGGGAGGGGGAGGGAGGGGAGAAGGGGGAGGGGAGGAGGAGGAGGAGGAGGAGGAGGAGGAAAAGAAGAGGAGGAGGAGGGAGGTGGAGGAGGCGGTGAGTTGGAGGAGGCGAAGGGAGGAGGAGGAGGAGGAGGAGGAGGAGGAGGAGGAGGAGGAGGAGGAGGAGGAGGAGGATGAGGATCGACCCCCTCCCCCGCACCCCGCAGCTGCCTGCCACTGCGATCCCGAGGTGCCCACAGGCAGGCCAGGCAGGCGGGGACCCGCGAGCGGGCAGAGCCCGGCTCTGCCGGGGGGCGGGTGCGCGTGGCACCGCAGTGCCCTCGAGGTGTTCGGCTTCGCGCACTTGTCTTCGAGGTTGAAGGAGCCCTGGGACACACAAATAAGTACACACAAATCAAAGGATTCCCCATATGTTCTCATATGTTCTGGGTTTTTGTCTTCCCCCCCACTTCCCATATCTTCCAATCTTTTCGGGGGAATCGACGATTCATTGTGTCTGTGTGTTTTTGCCCCCGCCTGAGAGGTGCCCCCAACTGCCCAGCACGGGCCTCGCCCGAGTCGTGCTGTCCCCGCCCCCCACGTCACTGCGGGCGCGCCGCGCGAGCCTGATGCATGGCGGGCTGCCGTCGATGGCCCTCCTCTGCGCTGCGATCGCACGCGGACTCGGTGACCCCCACAAGTCAGATGCCGCCCTCCCGCCTACCCCTCCAGCATCAAGCAAGCACATTGTCCAGGCAGGGATCCGACTGGCCTGCGCGACACTGTGATGACTCCTTTCTGTTGGCAGCGTGGGTGCGAGCGCAGCACGAACCACAGAGATGGCAAGCGGGGGGGCTCATGTCTGGGAACCTTCGCGGCAGCAATCTCCGAAACGAACTGTTGCCCAGTGCTCGGCCAGGCCCTCCTCTTTCTCCTCCTCCTCTTCCTCCTCCTCCTCCTCCTTCTCCTCCTCCTCCTCCTCCTCCTCCTCCTCCTCCTCCTCCTCCTCCTCCTCCTCCTCCTCCTCCCCCTCCCCCCTCTCCTCGTTCTCTCCCCCATTCCTCCTGCCGCTGCTGACGCCCATCCCTTGGCTGCAGCCACAAACCCAGACCCCCGACGTCATGAATTTTTCATGACGTCGACCCCCAGAGGTCTGGACCTATTCCCCGGGACCGGTTTTTCACCCCGAGTCGTTTTTTGACGGTCCCGAGGGCCGGTAAGGGCCCCCGGAGGCCAATAACGAAAAACCTCCCGTCGTGACTTTTTCATGACTCGAGGGGGTCTGGGGCCACAACTGCTGCTCCTCCCCCCCGCGCCCCCGGCGCAGGGCCCTGATGCCACGCGGCGGCGGCTGCCAACACGGCCGGCACGGTCACGAGGAGGGCGAGCACTGCAGCTCCGGCTGCCGTTGCCGAGGCCGCCGCCATGCTTTTTGCTGGCCTGCGGGCCCGGGCCCGGAGGAGGAGGAGGAGGAGGAGGAGGAGGACGAGGGGGAGGGGGAGGAGGAGGAGGAGGCGGAGGAGGAGGAGGGAGGTGGAGGAGGAGGAGGAGGCGGAGGAGGAGGAGGGAGGGAGGAGGAGGAGGAGGAGGAGGAGGAGGAGGAGGAGGGGGACGAGGAGGGGCAGGAGGAGGAGGAGGAGCAAGGAGGAGGAGGAGGAGGAGGAGGAGGAGGAGGAGGGGGAGGAGGAGGGAGGAGGACGAGGAGGAGGAGGAGGAAGCAGCCCGGTGCGAGGGCTGTCGAGGCAGCCACAGCATGCCCTGCCACGCCCGCGGCATGCAGAGTCGCGGCCTACCGAGAGGACGTGAGCATACAGTGGAGGCGAGTCCACAAGAAACCTTCCACAAGAAACCCGACCCTGAGACCCCAGGGCGTCCACCGATTCTTGGCGTGGGAACGGCACGCCTTCCATCGCAAAACCATCGAAACCCAGGGAACCCAGGGCACCCCGGAGGCGAGCAAGGTGTTTCGTGGCATGCGCCTCCACTGCACAGGACACGTAGTACTGCGAGGACGCGAGGATCCCCTTGGCTTTGCAGGGTCGGCCTCCATCGGTCGAGCCCGTACCCGGCGGGCGAGGGCACTCCTCCTGAAAGCCGCACGGACGAGGAGAGGTGGGACTCCCCCGCGCAGGCGGCCCCCGCGCCAGCGCGCCAGCGGCCTCGGGGCGAGCGGAGGGCCCTGGGCACGCGGGCTTTCAGGGGCCCTGGGAGAAGACGGAGGACGGGGAGGAGGGGAGACCACCCATACACTCATACATGCATACATACATACAAGCATGCATGCGTGCATACATACATACATACGTACCAACATACATACGTACATACATGCATACATGCATGCATGCATACATAATTACAAACATAATTGCATGCATACGCATATATATATATATGTGTGTGTATAGATCAAGATATATATATACACACATATGCATGCATACGCACACATACATGCGATGCGTACCTGTGCATGAAAGAGAGAGAGAGAGAGGGATTCAAAGAGGGCGGGAGGTGTGAAGACGAAGCTGCCTCCTCCTCCTCCTCCAACTCATCTCCTCCTCCTCCTCCTCCTCCTCCTCCTCCTCCTCCTCCCATCGACCTCCTGCTAGGAAGGGGGCTAGAATCGTGCGACCTTCCCCCTACCAGTCGACCTCCTGCTAGGAGTGGGCTAGAATCGTGCAACCTTCCCACTCCCAGTCCCACATTGCTGCGACGCGTTCGCTCCGAGCACCCTGCTTCTTCCTGCCCCGCCTCTGAATTGGCAGTGGCGCGGCGATGACCCCGCCGCGACGCCGCGCCTGCAAGCAAGATGGCTGCGGGAGCGCGCGAGGCATTCAATACGTCGTCGATCTGCAGGAGGAGGCACAGGAGGAGAAGAACACGATGGGGAGGACGAGGAGGAAACAAGAGGATGGAGGAAGAGGAGGACGAAGAGGAGGAGGAGGAGGAGGAGGAGGAGGAGGAGGAACAGACGGAGGAGCAGCAGGAAGGAAACGCACACAACATGTACTATAAAAGGGGGTCATCCGCACCAGAGATGCTGATCCTGGCAGCAGGAACGCTGGCTGGGTTGGGGGCACGCAGCTGGCTTCTTGAGAATACATCAGGGTGCCCCTGGCCGTATCGAGTCCCACAGCCGCGCAGAAAGTGAGGCGACACCAGAGATGACGGGAACAAGGCTGCGCAGCCCTCGCGCGCCAGACCCTGAGATGTTCCTTCAGACGGTGCGCTTGCAGCCTAATGCCGAACACATGCAGCACATGGGACGACAGCTGGGGGGGGGGCAGGGCCAGAAGGCCATGTCAAAAACAACATTCTGGCTACTTTCGTCCAATGTTTTGAGACTTGGCATGCCAAACACTTGTCCAAAGCACTGGCGTATGGAATGGCCACCAAGGACCTGGCCTCACGGGTCACTCAGTTTCTCCTGGACGCAGGGCTTGCCAAACTGACTAGAGTACCACTGAGACGACGACCAGGTGGAGAGGCCGAAGAGACGCCAGAAGCGACGACGGTATTGCGACCCAGTGACAGCAGGCCATCGTTCGGATGCAGAGCTCCAAAGCGCCCGCGATAGCCTCCGCTGGTGCCCCGGCTGGTACCGCTCGCAGGCCCCGCGATGCGGCAAGGGTCGTAGTGGCCCCAGCGCACCTGGGGCGCGGTAGAGAGGGGGGGGCCCCACCAATTTCCAGAACGACATGATTATTCCTCTTCCTCCTCCTCTTCCTCCACCTCCTCCTCGACCTCCTCCTCCTCCTCCTCTTCCTCCACCTCTTCCTCCATTTCCTCATACTCCTACTCCTCCTCCTCTTCCTCCTCCTTTTGCTCCTCCTCCTCCTCCCCCTCCTCCCCCTCCTCCTCCTCCTCCTCCTCCTCCTCCTCCTGCTCCTCCTCCTCCTCCTCCTCCCCCCACACACGACGACCCCGAGCCTGGGATGTGTGGCCCATCCCTCCAGACCCCTCTGCTGGAGCGGGGCGGCTCGCGGCCGCACGCGGGCCCGCCACGGGCAGAAGAGAGCTGAGGGGCAACGATTGGGGTGGGGCGTGGATCGGGGGGGACATCGACCCGAGATCGGCGATACTTCTCGAGGACGAAACAACGACATACAGTCAAAATCCCTACTAAGGACGCGCGGTAAGGACGCAAGACCCCTGGAGGCCGAAGTTGGGATTTCTGGGGCGGCGGGCGGCGAAAACCTCAAGGACGCAATAGCAAGGAAGAGCAAGGACGCAAGGGTACCCTGAGCAAAGTCGCGTGTCCGTATTAGGGTTTTTGACTGTAAACATAAACTTTCGGCGGCCCTCCGAAAGTCTATGCTCATGTTGTTTTTTGTCCTCCCGAACTTCGCCGACACATCGGCGCTGGGCCCCCGATTCCAAATCCGCACGCTCCTGGGCGGCGTGGGGCTATCAGACCCCTGTGGACGAGGAGTGTGCGACTGGGGATCGATGCATTCCCCCCTGAGCCCGTCCCACCCCATCGTTGCCCCTGAACCAAGAGATCCGATGTCGTGATTTTGTCAATAGAGGGTCCACGGACATCTCAACCCATTCCCCCGGACCGGTTCCTCGTCCTGAGTCGTTTTTGGACGGCCCCGGGGCCCGGCGAGGGCCTCTAGAGAGGCCGAACACGGCGAAAAACCTCCGCCTTGATCTTCTCACTACGCTGGATCTCTGGGAAGAAGGAGGAGTAGGAGGAGGAGGAGGAGGTATAGGAGGAGGAGGAGGAGGAGGAGGTATAGGAGGAGGAGGAGGTGGAGGAGGAGGAGGAGGAGGAGGAGGAGGAGGACGAGGACGAGGAGCCACTTTCTCCGCACAGGCTCCGTGCGCCATTGGCCGTCCTCCGCCCGCCCGCGCCGGCGGCGCCGCCAGCGCCGGCGGCGCGGGCGGGCGCAGCGCGCCCGCGGCAAGCGTCGGCAGCGCCAGCGCCGGCACCGCGGGCTCCGCGGGCCCCGCGGCCAGCGTCGGCACGAGCGTGGCGGCGGCGGGCGGCGCGGGGGCGCGCTCCTGATGCGCAGACACAGCGTAGTCATTTAAGAGGAACCCTGGCCCTGGGGGCGCGGACACAATGTAATGTACTAGGGATCCTGGCCCTGGGAGCGCGCACGCAGCGTAACTTACGAGGGGCCGTGGCCTTGAGAGCCACGGTCCCCCGCGCGCGGCGCTGTTTTGATTTTCGTGTTGGGCTCCGCACGGGATCGTCGGAGGACGTTCCGATGGGACGCACAGAGACATGCCAGCACGATCCGTCCGCCTTCGAGGCGCGCGCGCGGCCCGAAGATCTGGTGTAGCCGTCTTGTAGTACACATCGTGTCCCGAGCGGCATGGCCAGAAAGCGCCCGCCACGGCGCGCATGATGCAAGATTTCTCGGTGCGCGCGTCGCCCCTGGGGGGGGGCGACGCACAGGTAGTACTCGTATGTCGGTGGGACGGTGACCCGAGACGAGGAGGCAGAGGAGAGGAACGACAACCACCCGATGGATGCGATCAGGAAGGGAACCGCGCCCTGCGCTGCCGCAGGCGCAGCGCGGCCTCGCACGCACTGCATCGCCCCGCCCCGCCCTGGATGGCGAACCGGTGGCGGGGTGGTGTCGTGGCCCTCCTGGCCCCTCGGTTTCCAAGCAGTGCTCACCCTTGGCGGCAGGGTGGCCTTCGGGAAGCAACAAATTACACAAGCATTGACCTTCGGAGGTCCGCGCCCGGGCCAATCCAGACCTGGGCCAGTCAGGCCTTGCAGAATCCTGCAAGATCCTGCAAGATCCTGCACCCAAGCCTGGGCCAATGCGAAAGATCCTGCAGGATTCTGCAGGATCCTGCACCCAAGCACGGGTCAATGCGACCCTGGCCCCGCAGGATCCTGCAAGATCCGGCGCCCTGCCTGACCCCCGTCTGCATTGACCTCCGTCTCAAGGCTCCTGATGGAGCCCCCTGGCGGCGCCGCTGGCGCCGCCCCTGGAGCACTCGGCGCGCCAGAGAGGGGGGCCCACAGCCGATCCAAGAAATGTTTGCGGACCTCCGGAGGTTCATGTTTATGGGAGTAGGAGGAGGAGGAGGAGGAGGAGGAGGAGGAGGAGGAGGAGGAGGAGGAGGAGGAGGAGGAGGAGGAGGAGGAGGAGGAGGGGGAGGGGAGGAGGAGGAGGGGAGGGAGGAGAGGAGGAGGAGGAGGAGGATAGGAGGAGGGAGGAGAGGAGGAGGAGGGGGAGGAGGGCAGGAGAGGAGAGGAGGAGGAGGAGGCGGAGGAGGAGGAGGAGGAGGAGGAGAAAAAGGAGGAGGAAGAGGAGAACAAAAAAGGAGGAGGAGGAGGGAGGAGAGGAGGAGGAGGAGGAGGAGGAGGAGGAGGAGGAGGAGGAGGAGAGCGAGGAGGAGGTAAATCATGATTGGGAAGGGCGGCCATGGTGTGGTGGGGGTGTGCGCCTCTTGGCTGCGGCGTGCGGGGCGTCGCTGCGGTCTCGGGCAGGCGACGATGCACCAGTCAATAGGGCGGTGCTGCTCCCCCCTCTGGTGTGCGCGCGCCCCCCCCAACCCTCCCTCCTCCCCCTTTTCCTCCTCCCTCCTCCTCCTCTCCTCCTCCTCCTCCTCCTCCTCGTCCTCCGCCTCTTCCTCTCACCCTCCTCCTCTACCCTCCAGTCCTCTCCTCTCCTCCTCCTTCCTCCTCCACCCTCCCCTCCTCCTCCTTCCTCCTCCTCCTCCTCCTCTCTCTCCTCCCCCCTCCTCCTCCTCCTCCTCCTCCTCCTCTCCTCTCCTCCTCCTCTCTCCTCACTCCGCCTCCTCCTCCTCCTCCTCCTCCTCCCCCTCCTCCTCCTCCTCCTCCTCCTCCTCCTCTCCTCCTCCTCTTCCTCCTCTCCTCCCTCTTTCCTTCTACCCCCCTTCGCGTTCCGCCCCCCTCTCCCCTGCCCCACCCCCGGCCCTCCAGGCCCCTGGTCGTTCCCCAAGCAGTGCTTGAACTCAACCAGGGGGCTGCTGCCTCGTCTCTCTATAGTATTAATTGGTCGTTGCCGCCGCGTTGCTGCCTCGTGGCTGCTCACGAAGCTGTTTGGGTGTGTCGAGATTTCGCCGCGTCGCCGCCCGTTGCCGCCTCGGGGGGTATGCCGAGGATTCGCCACCTTGCCGCCCGTTGCCGCCTCGCTGCCGCTACACCGCATGGCTTTGCAGCTCGAGGGTGCAATAATGCACTGTTTACCTTCCACGCTGGCAATCTTTTTCGGAGACGTGGAGCGGTAACAAAAATTAGGTCTTCGGCAAACGGGGGCCCCCGTCCAAAGGCGGCTGGAGCACCCCAGCGGTGGCGCGTCGGGGCAGAAGGCTTCCCAGCCGCCCTGTGGGGCGACGGCAGGAAGAGGCTGAGGCCGGCCATAGAGAGAGAGAGAGAGAACAACAAAAAAAAAGAGTACACCACTTCGGACAGAGTCACTGCCCGGGCCCCAGAGCCCCTCATGCTCAAGGCGGACCCGCATCACTATGCGGGAGGCGCCGCGTGCGATTCAGGGTTGGTGGGATGCCCTCCCCCGCTTGGCGCGGACTACAGGAGTCCAAGGCTGAAAAAAGAGGCGATTGGCGCCGTGCGGGGTGAGGCGCCGGTTTTAAGCGTGAGTTGGCGCGTGCGCTTCGGCACCCTGCGAAGAAAAGCGCCGCATTGAGGCATTCCTCGCAGCGACCCAGAAGAGGCCGACAAAGGAAGAGGTGTCAACTGTTCATGAGGTGCGCGTGGGAGAGGGGCGAGCATCAGTGCGCCGCCCTGTGAGATTGGAAGAGTGTCTGGAGATACCAGGAATCCCTCTGGTCGCATCAGGACGGGAAGCCCGTCGAGTGAGAGCCCATGCCAGCTGTGCACGATGGAGCATGTCTATCAGCAGTGTTGGCTGCTCCTGTATTCTTGAATCAAGTGAAGGGGTGTCACCAGCTGGTTGGGGGGCTGGCTGCGCGCTTGCATGATGGTGGCGAGAATAATATCGCGGTCCTCTTGTCGCTGGCGACTGGTCGCACTGAGGTGTTTGGTGACGGCGTTCCTCAGATCAGGGCGAGGCTCCGCGGTCTGGCGGTGTCCAGCCCCCTGGTGCGTGGCACGGCAAAGGGACAATTCGTGGACACTCCCTGGTAGAGGGAAACAAGTACTGGACAGTCCCCCGCCCCCCAAACCTCGAAGTTGGCACGCGCGGGGACGACTGCGGTCGAGGTGCAACTGATCCGACCCACCGCCAACGCATGAGTATGGCATGCGTGTTCGCCACTGTCTTAACTACAGTCAAAACGGATAGTAAGGACGCGAGGTAAGGTCGCAAGACCCTTGGAGGCCGAAGTTGGATTTTTGGGGCGGCGGCGACCAGTGAAAAAGGCAAATGACGGGCCACAGAGGCAAGGACGCAGGGGTATCCTAGAGGAAGGCGCGCGTCCTTACTAGGCGCGTTGACTGTAAGACCCACGGTCCCCGTTCCCGGGCGGGGGCGGGGCGGGGCATGGTGGCAGGAGGCCCTGCTTTGGGGGGTTAGGTGTGAGGTTGCACCGGCCAGCCCGGCGGGCTGGGGTGGCGGGAAGGAGAGAGAGAGAGAGAGATAGACAGAGAAAGAGAAAGAGAGAGAGAGAGAGAGACAACAAATAGAGAGAGAGGGAGAAAGAGAAAGCAGAGATAACATAGAGAGAACAGGGAGAGAGAGAGAGAGGGAATGAGAGAGAAACAACAAAAAGAGACAGAGAGAGAGAGAGAGAGAGAGAGAGAGAAAGAGAGAAGGAGAGGGACAAGGGGGGAAGCGGGACCAGAAGGGGGGAGGGGGGGTGAGAGAAGAAGGAGGGGGAGAGGGAAAGGGGTGATGGGAGGACGTGGGGCACAGGGCGGCGCATCGTGTGGAGGGGAAGGCCAGGGAGACGAGGACGATGGGCCCCCCTGCTGGTGGCGCTCCTCCGCAGCGCCCAGCTGCTCCTGCCGCTCTTCCAGGGCTGTCAGGCGCGCGGCGAAGTCTCCCAGCGATTCCCTGCCATGTTCGCCGCACTGCTGCTGATACGCCTCCAGGGCGCAGAGACGCGCGGCCAGCTCACTCACTGACTCCATGCTGACGATGTGCTCCTTATGCTGCCCTGTGGGAACGGCGGCTCTCGTAGTCAGCTCGTTCAGGGGCTCGCCTCCTCTTGTGCTGTCCTGGTGCCGCCACTCTTCCAGTGCGACCAGCCGCGATGCCAACTTGCCGAGCATCTCCTCCTCACATGCAAGTTGATGCCGTTTCCATCTTAGCGTCCGGCCCGCGAATTGGGCCGATCGTGCCCTCGCATCCCGAGATCGGGCTACGCGTGCGATCACGCTGCCGAGCACCTCTGCGAGCCCGTAAATCACACACACACACACCTGCCAAACACAGTGTGAATGCTGTGATCACGACCGCCCGACCACACGGGAAAAGTGAACAACGAATGGCGATCATAGCGACGAAGAGTCAGCGAGGGGTGGCCCAGGGACGCGAGCGGAGAAAGGGGAGTGGACTTGAGACGAGGCGCGAGGGAGGAAGAGGGAACGGGGAGAGGAAAGAGCTGATGGGCTGGGGAGGACACAAAGACGGACGCAGCGACCACCCTGGAGGCCCCGCAATATATGTCCTTGCCACGTGCATAAGGAAGAGAGCGCGCACGCAGGGGCCCGAGCAAAGGGGCGGGGGTCTCCTCTCGGCTGCCCCCCCGCCTTCCTTGGGGCGCCCGTGCTCCGGGGGGAGCGTCGAAGCCGGCCCTCCCCCCCTGTGGCAAGGTGGCCCCCAGCTCGGAAAGAGGGGAGAGAGGGGGGGAGGCAGCTTCCGACGCCCTCCCCGCTTTCCGCCCCCCCCTCCCTCAGAAAGAGGGCCGCGCGGGCGTGCACCCGGCTCCCAAGGGGTGGAGGGAAGGGGGAGAGGGTTGGCTCCAGAGTCCCTTCCCCCTCTTCGGCAAGGGGCGGACGGAGGGGGGGGGGGGAGGGAGGGGGGGGGGAGGTTGGCTCCAGAGTCCCTCCCCCCTCTTGGGCAAAAGGGGCTGGCAGGCAGCTTGGAGAAGAAAGGGGTGGGGGGAGGGGGGCCGCTTCGGAAGCCCCTCCCCCTCTCGAAAGGAAGAGGCGCGGGCGCGCGCCACGCGCCGCCCCTCCTCGAGCACGTCCTGGTATTGTCGACGGGCCTCCCAGAACTGAAGGATCGAGGTTCGAGATCGACGGGGAGGAGGACGAGGGGGAGGAATGGGGGAGGAGGAGAGGAGGAGGAGGAGGAGGAGGGAGGAGGAGGCGGAGGCGGAGGAGGAGGAGGAGGAGGAGGAGGAGGAGGGGAGGAGGAGGAGGGAGAGGAGGAGGAGGAGGAGGAGGAGGAGGAGGAGGATTTTCCTACTATCGCTCCCCGCAAGTTGTGCGGTCTGGCCGCGCCCGTCGCCGCCGATGCCGCGGCGGCCCTCTCTCGGGGGGTCGCGGCCCTGGGGCCCGCGCCCCCCCTCCGCGCGCGTCTGGCTGAGGCGCGCGGAGCACTACTGGGCTGCTCACCTCCCCGATGTTCTGGAGCTGGTTCATCAGTTTGTTGTCCGTCGTGATGTTCGACGGGCTTGCTGGCAGCAGCCAGGAGGCATAGCGCCCGCCGTCTTCGTCTATCGTCCGCACTCTCTGCCGCTTCAGTTGAAGTCCGTGGTCGGCTCATCGTTGGCGTCGGACTGCCAGTCGGGTCGGTGCTCACGCCCATCCTCGTGCGAAGTGGTGTGGTGCGTGCCCGCTGGCTTGCTCCCGCTGCTTTGTCGGTCGGTTGTTGTCCGTCGTGCTGCTGCGCGTGGTCGACCTCCGCCGTCGCGTTGCTCGTCGGCTGTTGGTGCGGCTGGTGATGCTGGGTTGCGTCGCGTTTCCGTTCGTCGCGCTGCTCGTCGGTCTTGCTAGCAGCAGCCAGGAGTCGTAGTGTCCACCGTCTCCGTCGGTCTTCCGCACATTCGGCTTTGTCGTCTTCGACCTTCGGCGTCCGTTGGGTCGCCGAAATGGTCGCGTGGTCGGTGCGGGGTCGGCTTGTTGCTGGTCGCGTCGCAGGGATGGTGGGCGCGCTTGTTTGGCCTCCACGCACCGACTTCAGGTGGGGCTTGTGGCTGTCCCACCTCGTCCCGCTATGGCGAGGGGTTATAGTGCCCTCGGTGGGGGCGACCCCCAGGCCTTGTGCTTGCTTCTGCTCGTGGAAGTGTAGGTCGCAGCTGCTCGTCCGCCTCTTCGCGTTGTGCGCCCGCCTCCTCGTGCTGCCCAGCCCTACATGGCGACTTGAGCCTGAGGTGTTCCCTCGCACTCGGGGCTTCCTCAAGACTGTGCGCCCTCAGGCCATCAGCTCCACGTGGCGACTGTTGCCTGAGGTGCCCCCTAGCATTCGGGACTTCCTCAGGTCGTTGCGTCCTCACGCCGCGGTCGTGGCGTCGGCTTTCAGCGGCGTCGGCCTGATGAAGTGGGCGTGGCTGTGGGCGAATGTCGGTTTGGCGTTCGTCTCGTCGTTGCTGGCTGTGGCTTGTAGGTTGTTGCCCGTCTTGCAGCGGTGGTGTTGTAGGTGTCGCTGGCGTCGGACTGTCTGCAGTGCTCGTCTCGGCGTCTCCTTCTGCGTGCGCCATCTCGCTCCTCTTCTGCAAGCTGCCGCATGGAGGTGCTCCGCGGCAGTCAGCTTGCATCTTCTGAGGTACGTACTCCACAGCTGATGTCCCGCATGCTCGGCAATGCCATCTTTGCTCGTTGCTCAAGTATGTGAGACGGTGTGTGGGGTGTGCTGTGCTGCCATGCGCATGTAACTCCGCCCCTTCTCTTGGTGGCGAAGGGCCCAGGTGGCCCCGGTGCGAAGTAGTCGGCTGTCCTCGTTCGCCTTCGTCGTGCTGCTCTTTTCTGCCGCCTTCTCTTGGCCTTGATGTCGCGGTCTTCTGCTGGGCGCCGGCCCATGACATGTTTCGTTGCTGCCGCGGTTCGTTGTCGCACCAGGGCCACCGTCGCGTTTGCCCAGCTGTAGCGCTGCATCTTTGCGTCGTCGATGTCGCGTGCCCCTGCTGCGATATCAGCGCGCTTGTCGGCTTGCGCGTTGCCGTGCCACGCGTGTCGCGGGCATCCCTACTCTTCGGCGTCTCCCCAGCTGGGCTAACTGGTGATGTGGAAGAGCTGAGCTTCGTCTGCTGGACCTCGCTGGCGAAGCTCTCGTCTCGCCCTATTTCTCGCTGCGGGTCGCCGTTGGAGCCCGCTTCAGCTCGTCGTTCGAAGCGTCGCGGCGTCCAACAGTTTAAAACTATCTCGCTGTCCGGCCAGAATTGTAGTGGACCCGCAGTGCCCCCGAGGTTTAGCAGCGTCCACACTTCAAACCCTGTTGTTGGTTTGACGTCGTCCTGGTAGGGGACCGTGCTTGCCCGCAGCGGTGGCCATGTCTACTCCCCCCAGACTTATCCATGCCCAGTCACAACGTCTGCATCTCAAGTCTGTGCTGCATTTGCTTCCTGACCAATCGCCGTGCGCCGCGATTGGTGTTCCGTCCTCTGTAACAATACGCCCGCTGTGCATGCTGTCTCCCGTGCATTTGACCGCCTCCTCTGTGTCGCACTCTGGTGGTACCGACCATGATCGTGGAGTCATGCCTCGTAGCCAGAACGCTGGTGCGGTGCGTTGCCTTTCTTCCGCTTGGCGTTGCAACGTTTGCGCATTGTGGAAAATGTCGCGCTCGTCTTTGGCGTCGCTGGTCTGCCAGATTTTGTGGCAGTCCGTTTCTTCGTCTCCACAGTCGCAGTCTGCTGCGCCTTCTCCGGGGCATTCTCGCTGTCCTGCTCGTGTCCGGGCCCCGCGCATGATGCTATGAGCAGCGCGCCGTACTTTCTGTAGTTCCCGCGTCGTAATAGCCACTCCAGTTGCCGTCGCAGGCCGTCGGCGTCTGCTCCGCTTGCTTCCAGGCTTCCTGAGTTATGGTGCTTTGCTGCGGTCGTCCAGAGGAAGTGGGCGACGTGTGACATGAGTGCGTCTATGATGTCGGTCGGGTCGCTTTGCTCGCCGTCGACGGGGTATTTCCCGTGGTGGTTCTTCTTGCCGGTCCAGGTATCGGGCCCTCGCGAGTCCCATCCTAGCTCCCATGGCGCCAGGATGATGGCGGCAATGGGGCCTCTCTTCTTCCTACATCGACGCTGTTCATGTATCTTCAGGAGTCGGGGGTAGATCCTTCGCCATGCTCGCCGCGCCTGTGCTCGCAGATCGGGGCTGCCCCCCCAGCAGCTGAACCAAGTGGCGAACAGACCCTTCGTGATGGCGCAGACAGGGTCGGCACCTTCCACGGCCAGGCGCCCGGTAAGACACCTACCTGGCCGCGGTGTCTGTAGGGCCCGCGCGTGACGTCGTCGAGCCAGTTGTAGCGCAATGGCGGCCATGCCGTGGAAAGCTGCCCCATATCGTGGCGAGGCCATGTGCGATTCCAGCTCTGCGCCGCGCGCGAAGCCGTCGTCGTTTGCGTCGCGCTGGTCCAGAGTGTTTTTTTTGCGCGCCTTGCAAACGTGCCCTCTGCGTTGTTATCTTGGTCGTTCCTACTCTGGCTGGTCTGTCGGCCCCCAGATCTCTTCCCTCGTTCGCGGTGCTGATGTCATTGCCGTAGTGCATGAGTTGCTGTTGCATCTCCTTGGTGTCTTTGTACGTCGATGACATGAGCGTCGTTTTGTCGGCTAGCGCGAGCCCTTGCTCTCCGAGGCACAGGTGCAACATGTGCGTCGCTGCGACCGTGGCTGGGACAGATTGCGCTCTGCTGCCTACGGTCCGCGCGCTGATGTCGTCGAGCCACGCTCGCGGCAAAGGTCGCGGCATGTCCGCGGTGCCAATCATCTTCGCCATCGCCGCGTTCACCACCGTTTTGGAAAGCGCGCCAGTGGGCGGCCCTGAATACACGAAAAGGGGGGGGGGGGGGGGGGGGGGCTCCGCAGAGCCCCCCCTCCTCCCCCCTCCCCCCCTTCAAAGGGGGGGTGAGATTTTCGCCCCCCCCCCCCGCCGCCGCCCCCCGCCCCTCCCCCCTTCCCCCCCAACCTTGGCCCTGGACAGGGGTGGGGGAAGGGGGGGGTCGAACCCCCCCCCTCCCCTTGCGCAGAACGGGAAGGCTGGGGAGGGGGCCTCTCGGGTAGTGAGCAGAGAGTAGAATGTTTTCAGTAGGGATTGGTGAGTAGTGGGTATTTGATACTGAGTAGTGCGCAGTGAGTCGTGGGTGGTCAGTAGTGAGTAGAGGGTAATGGGTAGTGGCAGTAGTGAGCAGCGCGTAGAGTTTAGTGA